GTTTTATAAATTACAAGGTAACATGAAAATACAAGTGAAGGCCCCTCCTAATTTATTTAAACATGGGCTAACATTTGCTGAGAGCATCAGAAGAAATAAAGGCCAGCAGTAAGTCGTGAGTTTCCACAACAACACTTTAGGAATCCGGTGAGGTGGTTCAGATCTCCACACACACACACACACACACACACCCCAACCTGAGCTGTACACGTATGTGTAGAAACCGCTCTGAGAACTACATGTTTGCCAGCACGGTGCTAGTGTGAACAACCCATGGTGCATGTCGGCTACACCCCCACCTTGACGCTGTCAAGATAAACTCTCCTGCTGAGACACCTGTGCTTAGCAGGGAGAGCATGTCCTCTGCGGTCCCCGGCACGAAGGACCTTTGTTTTTCATAAAATGAGACAAGCGGCTTGATTTTAGTTGGGCTCGCATTATTGCTGCCCTGTCTCCTAAAAGATGTGTTCCTAATAGACATAAAACTACTCAAGGAGATAAACCTGATTTTGTGGCAGGTCAGTCAGCACTTTCTATGACTCAGAGTCCATGGGGGTAGGAGACATGGGCTTATTAAGAAAACTGTCCTTGGGTTGGCAAGATGACCCAGAGGTTAAGGACACTTGCCACCATGCCTGATGACCTGAGTTTGATCCTTGGGACTGCATGGTAAAAAAGGAGAATTGATCCCTGTAAGTTGTCCTCTGATATAAGCAAGCTACCTCCCAACACAATAAATAAATATAATTTGAAAAATTAAAAAGAAACTTGTCTTGGAATTAAACATTATTTTAATTAAACTATTTTCTTATTTGATACACTGTTTTGATTTGCTTCATTGCTGGAGATTGAACCCAGGTCGTCACACATCCTAGGAAGTGCTCCACCACGGAGCTACACTATCCCTCTTGAGTTCTTCTTGGGATGGAAACACCTGTATTAGTCAGAGGTTAATTTGTGTACAGTAACAACCCAAATACCTTCCCAGTCTGGTGGCTTAACACAGAGATCTAATTCTCATTTGCACATGAACAGGAAGCTCTGGTCCGGGAAAGTTATTAAGAACCTCAGGGTGGCAGGTGTCCTGACCTCTTGCCACAGAGGCCACATCTGGGGACAGAGCCTAAAAAAACCCATTCTGCTTTGCTATGCCCAGAAGTGGTCCTATTCAATTCTCTCTCTAACCCCTTGACTAGAAGTCATGTAGATGGACAGACAGGAAACATGGTGAGCACAGACACTCGGGAAGTATCATTGCCACAGTCCTCAGCCCCCCAGAGGGCAGGAGGCTCTGGATGACTCACAGGCCTTCATCCTCATCTTCGCACCACGGAGCAAGCTGCTCTGCTTTAGACGCCCAGCTCATGCCACTTGCGTGACTAAGCAAGTCATAGCCTCCATTTCCACACCTGTGGAGAGTCCAACACCCACTTCTGCACAGGCGCAGGAGGCACTTGATTGTCACCAGGAGGACACAGAATACCTAAGGCAGCAATTCTCCCCCAACAGTTCGAATTTGGCAGCTTATCTCAAAGACTATGGTGACATTTTCCAAAGACATCATGACCGACCGATATTACTGTAAATTACTTAGAGATTCTCGGCAAGTCACCCAGGACACGTCCCGATGCCATTCTTGGTAAAATGGGAGGTGTAGTTTTCTGCTGTTGCCTTTTCCCCCTCTGTGACACGGTCCCCACTCCAGTGCCCAAGCTTTAGACCAGCCTGGGTGTGAATGCCAGCTTAGTCACTTTCTTTAGTTAGCAAGCGTTCTGAGCCCAAGCATCCTCATCTTTTTTTTTTTTTTTTTTTTTTTGTACTGAGATTGATTTGGGGCCTCTTAACACTGGGACAGTCACAACCATTTCACAGGGCTGTCTCTAAGACTAAAAACATCATTCAGATCAAGTCCCCAGCACAGTATAGTGTAATTTTCTATCCTCTGATACATTCTACCTAACATTTCTGCATTTGGTACAAGAGCTTTGTGACAGAAACCTCAGTGAGTTGGTGAAAGCCCACGTCAACACCAGGTTAGGATCTCTGTCAGGAAACGGCTCTGTTAGCAGGAGAGAACACATCTACTCCTAGACATTAAGGATCAAAGCAAACAAACAACCAAACAAATTAAATATGGAGACTCAGACATACGAATACACATTTCTGACTTCTTTTAAAGAATCAATTCTCTCTCCAGAGGTCAAAGTTAGCTTCTAACATACAGTCCTTGCCACTCCATAACAGAGGCGACTGAAGGGGGAAAACTGGCAGGGAGGGGAAGCCATCTTCAACTATTCAGCCAGGCACTAATGATGATATTGGATATATATATGTGTGTGTGTGTGTGTGTGTACATACATACATACACACACATACGTACATACACACACACAAACATATATATGTTTTTTGAAACAGGGTTTCTCTGTGTAGCTTTGGAGCCTGTCCTGTAACTAGCTCTTGTAGACCAGGCTGGCCTCGAACCCACCACAGAAATCCACCTGCCTCAGATTGAAGAGATGGCTCAGCAGTTAAGGTCACTGGCTGCTCTTCCAGGGGTTCTGAGTTCAATTCCCAGCAACCACATGGTGGCTCAAAACCATCTATAGTGGGATCTATGCTCTCTTCTGTCATAAAGGTGTACATGCAGATAGATAACACAAATAAATCTTAAAAAAAAAAAGAAAGAAATCCACCTACCTCTGCTTTCCGAGTGCTGGGACTAAAGGCATGCACCACCACTGTCCGGCTATATTGGGTATTTTTGCTGCTCCTTTTATTTTTAATTTTTTAATTCTTTGAAAATTTTATACAGTATATTTTTTATCATAATGTTTCCCATCTCCACCCCCCAAAACTATTCCTTTTGGGGTTTGGTAGTTGTTATTTGACACAAGGGCTCATCTAGCCCAGGCTACCCTCAAACTTACTATGTAGTTGAAGTGGACCTTGAACTCCGAATACTCCTGCCTTCATGTCTCAAGGACTGGAATATAAGCATTTTCTACTACCCCTGGCTTACACTGTTAACCTCTAAAAGACTGTAGAATTTAAATAAAGTACCATTTTCTTTGCTTTTAGGTGGAACTATATCAAATAGGTAATTGAATTATCCTAATGCAAATTCAGACTAACAAGTAAATATCATTAATAAATGTTTCTAAAGTTTAGAGGAGAAATTACTACAATAAGTAGAATTTGCTTGATAGATTAATTCTGGCAAAAACATGGTGGGATAAAGGGTATAGGTTACTGGTAGAGCACTTGTCCTGGGTTCAATCCTCAGCATTGGGGAGAGAGAGAGAGAGAGAGAGAGAGAGAGAGAGAGAGAGAGAGAGAGAGAGAGAGAGAGAGAGGCTGGAGAGCTGTTTCGTCAGTTAAGGGCACAAATGCTCTTAGGGAAGACCTAAGTTCAAGTCCCAAGACCCATGTTAGGTCACTCACAACCATTTGTAATGCCAGCTCCAGGGGATCTGATGCCCTTTGCTGGCCTCCATATGCATTGCATTCACACACACACACACACACACACACACACACACACACACGCATGACACAACATTAAAAATAACAATAAAATCCTTAAAAAAAGAATGAAGCTCAAAAAGAAGAAAAATAACAATACAAGGTGTCCGCGTTTATGGAAAGACAGAAAGGAGCAACTACATCTGTCTGTTCCACCCAAACTGGAGCTCAAGTCAAAACTAGAAGTCCAAGTGTCAAGATTTGGGTTATGTCAGAGTAGTAGAGACAGCCCTGGGGAAGAGACAACAGACAGGGCCTACTTCTGAAGCCTGTAGTTTCATGGCCTAGGCAGGCGGCCCGTGACTTTAACAGGAGACATAGTATTATTGCTGACTCTGTCTTCTCTGAACAGAAAGGCAAATGAAGTGCAGTGGCCATTTATGACATTGCTGTGCGTGTGTAGGTCACAGTCTTGGTGCCAGTGTGCAAGGTCACTGTACTGTACACGGGTGAAGAAACTCTCTCCCGATGACCTGCAGTTCTCAAGGATTGCTATGTGTCCTAGGACGTATTGTGATTCATAATTTTGCTATGTGGGGCAAAGGCATTACCTTTCCAGACCTCGTCAGCTCTTCCCCACGTTTACCTAGAGCATGTGGAATCAGAATTGCCAAGCTAATGAAAATGTAGTAAAGCTCTCCCAGTCCAGCCTCCTTGTTTTCCAAATGCCCAGGGAAGGGAAAAGGACTGCCCAAGACAACACGGTCAAGACCAGAGCCAGCTCTCCTGCCTTTGCCTCTATTTCTATAAGAACATTTTACTTCCTTTTCCTTCTCAACCAAACTGCCTCAAGCACTCACTGCCTGAGATCTGTTGTCTCCACACATTCTAAGCTCCTATCTAATCACTCAAACATTCCAACTTATCCCCAGTCCTCCTACTTTATCCTTGTAGCATCCTACCAGGGCTTCCAGATTCTACTTGGAGAAATCCTGCAGGAAGCCAGATCATCTCTCCGCCCACCCATCCCTCTCCCCCTCCTTTTTCTGGTATATTTATTACACTAAACACATTCTGAAGAGGAGAGGGGAGAGGCTCCTTTTCTTGTCTGGGATGTAAAGAGCACTAGAGTTAACACCAAGGACTTAAAAAAAAAAACGCACAGGAACAAAGCAGAAAAGAAATTTCTTTCAAGTTAGAAGTGGATTGCTATAAAAATACTAAAGATGGCTCTGGCCACTGCTGTCTCTTGCCCAGCTCACTCCAGTTGCATGGGAGAGGAGCAGAAAATTCTTATGAGGAAGAAAAAAACCAGGAAGGAAAAGAATGAAAGTGGAGGGAGTCAATGATGAGCGGGAACTGAGCGATACACACAGCCCGAGCACAGGCTGAGTCCTAAGGAGCACAGAAAGAGCAAACGACTCGGGAGAGCAGACAGAGGGCCACCCTGCCCTTCCCACACTCCAGGCCTCACAGCAGTTTTATGACAGCGTCAGCCGTGCTGAGATAAGGAAAACAAGGACGTACGCTGGGAATCTCATGATACTAAATTTATTCCATTTGAAGTTAGATCCGGACTTCTTTAGTCCTAAGACATTAAGGAGAGGGACACTGAAATCAGGAGATAATTACAACTTCATGTGCTCCCTGGCAACCCAGGAACGTCATCCTATGGTGTTCTCTGCTTTGATCTTCTTGGTTTTTTCTTTTCTTTTTTTTTTTTCTTGGCTAATGCATTGATTTGGAAAACCCCAATGTCAGTTAGTCTTCCTATCTAGAAAAATAAGTCAGATAGTAAATGGCTACCAATCTATTAGGAATAAATCACAATTAATTAACATATTCTTAAGGAGAGGGCTTAAACAGAATCTTCATTTTAAAACCTCTTGCATGAAATAGCTCCATAAGTAGCTTGAATTAGTCCTAACAACCACTGTTCAGTAATTAACTAAATGCGTCTTCATAACCTCTGACAATTGGATCGGGGGGAATTTAAAAGCAGCAATAAATACAGATGTCGATACACAAACTGAGGTGGTCCTGATGCAGAACTCTTCATGTGTCAGGCAGGGGCTCAACTTTCTCATCTGAAATGAAGCAAGAAATTAATTCGAACCATGATTGTAGGAATAAGGGGGAAAAAAAATCAAAACAAAGTCCATCCTCTCAGGCGGAACGCCTTGGTGTGTTCCCCACTGCCCACTTGCCACGTGCCAATAAGAGGTAACAGCATGGAGGATGGGGCCAAGCGCCCTGGCCTTGCTGTGTGAACAGAGGGCAGCAGTGACTCCTACCTGGACAAGCTCCCTCAGTTGCTTGTGTGGCAATGCAGTTGCGCAAGCCTTGGTCAAACCTGCTTAGAGAGTAGGCAGAAAGCCCCAAGGTGTTCCTGCCCTAGGCAACCCTCCCAACCCTTCCTCTAAAGTGGGGGTAGGTTTCCCCCACGGTCTGTTCTCCTCTGAACCCCTCCACCTTCCTGCACCCCCAGTCTCTGGAGAAGGTGAGCCTACTGCCCCACCATCCCCCACTCCCACCCCCACCCTGCCCCCACCGTCCCCAACTCTCACCCCCCACCCTGCCAGAGTACTTACAGAGCTGTCTCTGAATTCTTGTTTTTCTCTTTCATGCAGAGCTACAAGGCAAGCACAGGTTCGTGAGTTTGCATCCTTTTCTAAGGTCAGGAGTGAACATTTTGAATGTATCGTCACGGCAATGGGTGCTGCGGATAGATTTTAATGAATGATTTTATTGATCTTAATCAGAATGTTTCTAAAGTTCACAGTTAGGTTTTCATTTCATTATATTAAAAAAATCTTTGTGTGTGTGTGTGTGTGTGTGTGTGTGTGTGTGTGTGTATGTGTGTACACATACATGGTGGGGAAATATCATGCCACAGTGCATATACGGAGGACAGAAGACAACCTGGAGGTTTCTGTTCTTTTCCTCATGTGGGCTCTGGGAACTAAACTCAGATAGTCAGGCTTGGCCACAAGTATCCTTACTTGCTAAACCATCTCTCTTATTCTCTCTCTCTCTCCTTCCCTTCCTCCCTCCTTCCCTCCCTCTTTCTCTTTTCCTCCTCCCTTTCTTCTTCCCTCCCTCACTCCCTCCCTTTCTTTCTTTGGAAAAATGTTTTGGATTGGAATAGAGGGTGGGGCAAATTTCTCTTGGGAAACACTGTTGCCCTGAATCAGATCTAGTTACTGTTGCATGAAAAATGACTTACTGACTGATGAATTCAACCTAGGGCATTCTGTCTCTCTTTAAATTTAAATTTTCTGCCACATATGTGCCCTTTTTGGCCCTGAGTGATCTGGCAGAGTCAAATGCATGGCATTAACCTATATTCTGAACCACAGTAAACAGCAATGCCAACCGTTGGACGGCTCAAACTCCAGCCCACAGCTACAGAGCATGTGGCTGTATTCAGGAGCAGAGAATGCAGGCATCTGTTCCTCCCCGGGTTTATTCATTGTACCAGGGGCACCATGGCAACAATGAAAGGGGAAGTTATTGATTGGGACTTTTCTGCTTCTTACCTCTCCAGCACTGGGAAGACAGGTGTGCGCTGCCGCACTGGGCAGGAGAAATTTAAAAGGAAGAGAAACCAACTCCAAAGTCCCCGCCAGTGATACCATAGGCATTTCCACCCCAGCTTGTCCACATGTACTTCTCTTCTTGTAAAGCTCCACACAGGATAGATGCTGGAGCCTTGCGCATGTGCGTCACAGTCTCTGCTAGAGCCATAGCCCCGGCCTCTTAGACGAATTTTTACCCCAGTAACTTAGAATACTTAGGTACCTTCATTATTCTTTTTCTCCTAGCAAGCAGCCCAAAACCCAAAGTCAGGAAGACCACGACACAAGCAGCAATGATTGCCTCTACTGGGACGGCTGGAACTTTGTCTGTTGGGAAAGCAAACACAGGGAAGAGCAGCCAACTTTTAACTTACGTGTTTGTAATAGGAACATGGTCTCTTATATTTGCACACACCACTCTTTTAATTAAATCTTTGCAACAACCCCAAATGATGAGGAATAGGGGTCTTTGACAGGTTAGATTACTCACCCAAAATGTCAGAATTAACAAACTGTCTGGGGAGATTCTGAGCCCCCTCCTTTGTGAAGGGAGTTTCTGAAATGTGAGTACCCCACCCCGAGTGGCCGTCCAGTCCATTTTGTGCTTTATTTTCCTTTATTTATTTTTGCCACAGAAAGCAGAAGGAAATTGAAGTCAAGACCTTTTCAAAAGCACAAAGGTTTTTTAGGAGAACTCTCAGAAGAAGACAGAGGGAAGAGGGCTGGGAGAGCAAGAAGGCGGAAAGGGCTCCCTAGGCTAAGACAGACGGGAGACATGGCTGGGCTCAAGGAGCAGCGTGCACAGTGGTCCGTCCATCAGTCAGTCTGTACTGTGCTAGTGCCCCAGGCAGACAAGACATATAGAGAGTGGCTGCTTGGTGTCTGGTCAGGAAGTAGAATTTCAGGCATCAGCCTTCCCACCCTTAGCAAAGATTTCCACAGTTCTCTAAATGACAAGGAAGGACAGTGAAGGGGCTGCGACAGCCATGACAGCTTGAAGACAAAACTCACTAGAACGTTAAGTTTACTTATTTGTGTTACACTTCTTCACTTGTGTGTAGATGTGTGGGGTTCGGAGGATGACTTGTGGGAGGTAGTTCTCTCCCTCTACCGTGTGGGAAGCAGGGGCAGAAGTCAGGTTGTCAGGCTTGGCAGTGGGCACCCACTGAGCGATCTTACTGGCCCAACCAATTATCTTTTAAATATTTTCTTCTAATTATATCCAGTTCCTGCTCAGTATAATTGCAGAGGGGAGCTGGGGTGGGGGCAAATGGATTAAATATTCCTCATTTTGTGTGTGTGTGTGTGTGTGTGTGTGTGAATACTAGGGCTAGAACCCAGGGCCCAACACATGCTAAGCATAAATTCTACCACTGAGCTATACCCTAAGCTCCAGAGTGTCCTTCACTTCTGCCCACTCCTAGCTCTTCCCCCAAAATTATTCTCATGTAGGTGTGGGTAGGGTCAACCCTCTGTAGAGGGTGGCCTGAAGAGCCTTCTAGAAAATCCCAGCTGTATATTAATCAACTCTGGGATACACTGCAGTCTTTACCTTACTGGAGACCTCCACTTGCACATCAAGGAAGGCTATCATATTGGGACAGAGAGGAAGGGAAGACCAGGTGACTAGGAGAAGAAATCAGAGTGCTGTTGCAGATAGGAAATGTCTTTCACCAAACTGAAAGCTGTGAAGCCACATGTCACAACTTTCCTTCCACAAACCAAGCTGAAACAAACCGACTGACCTACTGGCTCCCCTTGCACTTCAAGTTCCTGTTGAAAGTGACTCTGACACAGGCATCTAACTACCTGGACTCCTCCCTTTGTCCTGTTTTGGTGGTCCTCTCCCTTGGACCATTCTGGTAAAATAGTTATTAACACGTGGGCTGACTCTTGTGCTGGTGAAGGGCTTCATGCCATTCCCAGCGTCTCGTGGTGCTTTAGAAACCACCCCCACAGAGCAGGGGCGAGCCTGTGGGGGATCCGGCATCAAGCCCCAGGGAGCCCCAGGAGCAGAGCAGAGCACATGCGCTCTAGAAGGTGAACGGGCAGCCTGGGAAGTAATGAAGCAAAAAAAGAAAAAAGAAATAAGAAAACAAGCTGGTTTGGCAGACCTCCATCCGAAACAAGTTTCTGCCCACCTAAAAGGCAATTTGCTGATTGCCACAGAAGCCGTGTGATTTAAAAAAAAAAAAAAAAACATGGTCATAGAGCAATTATGCTTTCTTCCTAACCAAGAGGGATGCTATAATCACTCAGTCTCCGAGTGTGGTCTTCTAGTTAATTAGAATAGTAGCACATGTGGCTCACTGTACCATGTTTTTGTAAAGGTTCTGGGTAAAGTCTAAAAGCGTCAAGGTGGTGTCCCTTCCATTGCTTCTGCCCTTTGGACACAGGCTCTTTGGTAGGGTTTTGTTGTAGTTGTTGGTTTTAATCACGTAGCCAGCCCTGAGGCAGACTGTTTTTTTCTGCAGGACAAATTACTGAAAAACCCAGTAACCACAGTGATGGGGCAGTCAACCAGTAGCCACTCCCACTCCTCATTGGCCACTGACTTTGTATCCTTGGCTCCCTAGTGTGGGGAGGAAAGAAACTACTGATGTCTGGTGACATCAGTCCGTTCATGCAGGATTTGGCAAGGAGGTTGGTTTGCTTCCTGGGAAATGGCAAGGTTGGCAATGAATAGGTACAGTGAAGAATGTTCTAGCAGGATGCAGGAGCCTCAGCTTGTTTCCCTGCTCCCTGATACCCGCCCAAGAGCAAATGTGCACGAAGGAATGGTATACTTTTGTGGCATTGGGCTTTTCAATTTCCTTTTTGTCTGAGCAAGAAGCCCAAGGAGACTCATGCCTACAGGGCACGCATATGCATTCAGGCAAACACTCATACACGTAAAGCAAAATGAAATCTTTCAAAAGGGAATAAAATATCAGGAGAACACTTCAAATCTCACTGGTTCTCCGTGATCACAGGGGAATGAGCTTGAGCGAAGAGAACACAATGCTGAGGGAGAAGGCTCTGTGATTTACCTTGTTTCCCCACTCCCAACGCTGATCAGGTAACAGGACAGAAGTCAAGGATTACGAGTGGGCCGGGCGGGGTGGCGCACACCTTTAATCCCAGCACTCGGGAGGCAGAGGCAGAGGCAGGTGGATCTCTGTGAGTTCGAGACCAGCCTGGTCTACAAGAGCTAGTTCCAGGACAGGCTCCAAAACTACAGAGAAACCCTGTCTCGAAAAACCAAAAAGAAAAAAAAAAAAAAAAAAGGAATTACGAGTGGTTTCAAAGATCTTTTCTTTAAAAAATCTTATCAATATTTTTCTTTTGTGCATTTGTGAATTATCTGAATTATCTTCTGTTACAGGCTGTGAACTCAAATGGCTAGTTCCTACACATCGATGCTGAAGGGAAGTTGCAGAAGTTTCTTCAACAAAGTCACACCAGAATTGCTTTCTACCTTGGTCCCAGAATCTCAGCTCAAAAGTCAGAGGTCTATATGGAGTGAGCATATTCTTCTATATTAAAAACTTTTTTTTTTGATAAGGTCTCACTGTATAACCCTGGCTGTCCTGAAACTCGCTTTGTAGACCAGGCTGGTCCTGAACTCACAGAGATATGCCTGCCTCTGCCTCCCAAGTTGTTGGCATTAAAGGTGTGCACCACCACATCAGGCTTAGATTTTTTTCTATTTAGAGCAAATACTCTACCTCTGAGCTATCCCAGCCCTTCTCAGTGTCCAGGATCAAACTCAAGACCTCCTGAACACAAAGAAAGCACCACAGAGCTATAGCCCCAGCCTCTAGCCCTTTTTACTTTTTTATTCTGAACATGTTCTCACTAAGTTACCAAGGAAAGACTTGAACTCACAACCTTCCTCCCCTAGCCTTCTGTATAGCTGAGATTATAGGTACCAAACCTGACTCAGACTAGAATTCCTAAGGAAAATTCTCCTGGACGGGGATAATTTTCCAATGAAAAATCTTAGCTACAAAGCATAACGGTCACCACCAGTGGTTAGCCCTGATAATATTTACCAAGCCCGTCTTCTGACTTATGCATCATGCTGAGCAATTACTTAAGAAGAATTACCTGTAACGACCAGGTGGAAGTCCATGGTCTCCACTTTGAGAGTTGAGCTAGCAATACAGCTGTAGGTTCCATTGTCGGATTTCTTGACTTTGGTGATTGACAACTGCAAAGACTCACTTGTCTCTTGGATTTGGTGACGGCCTTTCTCTAAAACCAGGACGCTGTTGTCTTTATGCCACTCCATTTGAGCCTGAGGGTTGGATTTCACGTTGCAAACCAAGCTTACGTCGCTGTCTTCCTCTGCGGTTTGGAAGTCATCTCCGCTTAGAATGGGAGGGACTGTAAGACTCAAGCATTCAAGATTAGTTAGAAGTGAACAGTAGTTAGTTCACGGTCAACAATTCAAGATCCCCTTTCCATCTTTCTCGGAGTATATTCACCCAATCGACAAAAATGTGTGGAGTGCTAAGCACACAGGCAGTAACCAGGGACATGAAAGTAAATGACGAACATTCAGGTCTAACTTCATAAGACTTGGGGGCTATAAAGATAGACCATGAGGGGCTGGAGAGGTGCTCAGAGGTTTGGAGCACTAGCTGCTCTTCCAGAGGTCCCAGGTTCAATTTCTGTGGCTCCCAGGGCAGCTCGCAACTGCCTCTAACTCCAGTTCCAGGCATCTAACGGCTTCTTCCGGCCTCTGTGGGTACTAGGCACATACAGTACACAGACATGCATGCAGGTAAAATATTCACACACATATAGCAATAAAATAAAATGATTTAAATGTAAAGATTTTTCCTAAAAAAAGATATACCTAAAGCTGTATAAGATAAGGAACATAATATATATATAATAATAGCTGGGCATGGTCGCACACACCTTTAATCCCAGCACTTAGGAGGTAGAAACAGGCAGGTTTCTATAAGTTTTAAACCAGCCTGGTATACATAGCAAATTTCAGGTTGGCCAGGGCAACATAGTGGAACCCTCTTTCAAAAATAGTCCTTGCTCTCTGAGCGTATTATACTAATCCAATTTGTACGAGGGTCGGCTAAAACAGCACAACACTAAAAACAAGCATGGTAGCTAGCCCCAATTCCATACATGCCCTCTGTTGTGACTCTGAGACAGATACTCAACTGTTAAAGTTTCCGTTTCCTCTTTTAAAAAAAACAGAAACAAGAACTGGGATGCTGAGCCCTTTCTGCACTGTGAAGATTAATTGCAACAATGCCTGTGAAGAAGCCGGTAGCATGCTGACCACTGTTAAGAATGCGGTGGCGGTTTGGAAAGCTTTTCACACCCTCGGGTTTTGTATTTTGTCTGACCACATTTGCCTGGGCCACAAATTTGCATCGGCCCAGTGGCCCTATACAAAGAAGGTCCTGCCTCAGGAAGTCTTCTAAGAGTGGTAAATCTTGCCTCTATGGGAGCTTAATAAATCCCCATGCCTCTCCTCTTACGTCCTCCACAGTGAGAGCAGTTGTAACCGGGGATAGTCGGACACATTCATCTTCATCAATGATTCCAATCCTCCCCCTCCCCCACGTCCAGGAGAAGAAACGGCCAAGCCATGTTTCCCTTCTCATCTACGCCCATTGTGTTTATTGGCAGATGTTCCGGAAATTAATAAACAGCTAGAGTGGGCAGTAAGGAAGGAGGGAAACCTAAAGAAGGAGGGAAAAGGAGCTTGTCTCATCTGCACCCTGAATAATTAGACCCTGAGTGGGCTGTGTTATTAATAACTTTCGCAGAAGAATGACATTTTGTGAATTCTGTATCCATTTCCAACAAGGGTGGTGTGTGGTGTTCAGACACACAGGAAGCTGCTGGAATACAGAACAGGATGGCCAAGCACAACAGTTCCATTTGTGGAGACATCCTATTAACCATTCCTTTAAAACATTTAACGTTAATAAAAGTTTAAACAAGTCCTCTATTCAGGGACACTGGCCCTTTAAGAAAAATCAAAATAAATAAAATAAAAATCAAATAAAGCTAAAACCTTCTCTTTGACATGCAGCCTAGTCACTTCCTGAATCCCTACTGTTTTTGTTATTGTTGCTGTTTTTAAGATAAGTTCTTACCATGTAGCCCAGGCTGGCCTTTAACTGACAAGCCTCCTGCCTCAGGCTTCACACCAGTGCCAGCATTATGTGGCCTTGTACCACCGGGCCCTGCTGCTGATACAAATTAATGAATAAAAGGTACAAATACCCAAATAGAAACATAATTATAAAGCATGGGCAGACATCTCACAGAGAAGAAACATGAATAGTCGTTACATGCACGAAAGGGTGAATATCCTCATTTTTAGTTGAATAAGCCAGGTACAGTGGCTGACTTTGAAAGACTGAGATAGACCAACCAGTTGAGCTCATAAATCTGAAGCTAGCCTGGGCAACATTGTGAGATGAGAGACACACGTGTGGGAGGGTGGGTGTAGAATGCTCAATGTTACTGGCAGATACTCGGTGCTCCCGAGGGGATGGGAAAATTGAGGCATTCTGATGTTTCATATGGGGACATGAATTGAACAGTGTAGCCAAATCAAGATTGGGACTTCAGTTGTCACTTAACAAAATGCAGACGCCCAAGACGGTCAGCTTCTTTCCCCCTCCACTCACAAGTAACATTCAGCACCACGGAGACCGACACCGACTGATTGCTCTGCAGCTTGCAGGTAAAGCGAACTCCGTCGTCGTCTTCTCTGATGGGAGAGACACAGACAGAGCTGCTGTTGATTTGATTTCCAGTTTTCAGATCTACGATTCCATCGCCTCGGTACCAGAGAAGTTCTTCATCGCTGGTGTGGTTTTGAACCGCGCATTCCAGAGAGGCTTCGACACCAGATGGGGTGTCCAGGACATAGTTCTCAGTTCTGCCATTTACAGTTATAACAGAACCTGCGGATATAGGGGGAACAAGCAATTAAGGTAGGCAAATGTCTAACCTAGATGTCCGCCAGCAGAGGACAGGTTAAATGAATTATGTTGCAACGGTGCAATAAAATATACAGTCAACAATGAAAAGCAATTATATCAATCGACGTGATTTTACAAGGCGTTAGATATAATGCTTTTCGTTTGGTAGTTTTTGTTTGTTTGGTTGATGAGTTGTTCTCAAACTGAAGATCCTCCTGCCTCAGCTTGCCAAGTGCTAGTATTACCTGTGTGAGAGCGTGGCATAATGTGTTATTAGCTAAAGTGAGAAAAATGGCAAAAAATTATGGCCACCAAATTTTGCTGCACGTTAAAACCACCTAGTGACCTTTTACATTCTAATGCTAGGCTCCTGGCCGTCTGATTGCTCGACAGGAGTATAACCTGGTTATTGGGCTATTTAAAAGTTTCCAGGGTGGTTCAAACGCAGAGTGAAGTTTGACAACCACCAAGTAGAAACAGTGTGTACAAAACAACTCCAGAATGAGCTGATAGAAAAAAAAATGGGGTTCTCATTAAGAAAAGCCTTGGGAAAATACCATGCATTTATATAGACTGGAGCTGGTAAATATAGGTAAGATGTGGAGAATGACCAGGTTGATGCGTTTGCTTTGATGGGGGAGGGGTGGGTGGAGTAGGAAAGCAAGGACCTGAAAAAGACTAGCAAAATGGAAAAGTATTTAAAACCTAAGTTCAAAGGTAGAATGCAAATTCCATCTCTAATAATTACCACAAGCTTCAAAAATGAATATGTATATGGACAAAAACTGACTTAAAATACCTGTTTTGTTAAGTGATAGGAATATGGATGAATCTGTTCTTGTATGTCTCATGTTTTATTGGACAGTACAGTAAAACTTAAAAATGTTTAAATGATTATGATTCATGAGGTAGACAAGATTTTGTGGGGTGTAAAATATCTTTTGTTGTTTGGGTTTTTTGTTTGTTTTTGTTTTTTGTTTTGTTTGGTTTTTGGGGTTTTTTTTGAGACATAGTTTTTCTGTCTAACAGCCCTAGCTGTCCTGGAATTTGCTCTGTAGACCAGGCTCAAACTCACTGAGATCCACCTGCCTCTGACTCCCAAGTACTGGGACTAAATGCGTGTGCCACAACTGCCTGGCTGTTGTTTGTTTTTGGAGGCAGGGTCTCACCATGTGCCCCTGGTTGCTTTGGAATTTGATATGTAGACCAGGCTGGCCTCAAAGTCACAGAAATCCTCCTGCCTCTGTCTCCTGAATGCTGGGATTAAAAGCATTCACCCCCTTGCCCCACAGGTTTGTTTGTTTTTGGTTTTGCCTTTTTGCTCTGATTTTTAATAAGTTTTTTTCTCATTACATTGTAACATACTCCTGAGTTTCCATTTTTATTTTCCTGGTTCAGAAGCAGATAACAAAAGATGGAGCTTTGGCTGCTGCTAGGCCGTCCTCCCAAATGTTTGCACAGCCTCTAACTTAAATGTAAGTGTGCCAGTGCCTGCAACTGTACACACTCATACAAAGGCCAGAGGACTCCAGGGGACACCCTCTATCTCGGCACCTTATTGCTTGAGACAGAGCCTTCCACTTCAGCTCTGCTGGCCAGTGAGTTCTCGGTCTCCACCAGTGTCCACTCCCCAGTGCTGGGGCTACACAAACACAGAGCCTTGCCAGCTTTTACAATGCATGCTGAAGATGCCGGCTAAGCCAGCAGCCCAGCCCCGTCATTTTGTTTTCTGGTGTTTCCGATGGAACCTGGAGCCTTTACGCTAATTAAACATTCACTATACTACCAAACTACAGCTACAGCCTTGGGCCTGATTTGTTTTGCCATGAATAAGTATTTTAAAATGTGAGGGAGGCCTTAAAGCCTCTTTAAGGCTGATATTGTCCTGTAGCTGACGTGTTCAAATAAACAGAGGATTACCTCTCTTGAAACTGGTACCTGAAATATATTAAAATTCGAGAAAATTCTGACTACAGCTCTAGAGACAATAGCACACTTCATTCTCTTAGACAATCAGAGCCATAAAACAATGTTATTCCCCGCCCCCCCCCCAGTTTTTAAAACGTTTTCTGACTCCTATACCGTGAACCATTCATTATATTGGGTAACCATTCCAAATGGGTACTTAAGGCTGTTTCCAATGTTCATAAATTATTATTTTTTTAACCTAAAAAGAGGTCATAGAGAATATTAACTTACTTGTCCTCCCCTGTGGCAAAGATACAATCACTAGGAGAAGGCTGCATGCTTGCAGTGGCCCCATGATCTTCCACACCATCCTTAATGAATGCAGGCTGGGTCTCCTGGAGGCAAAGAATGCAGTTGGTTCTGTACTTTGATCTACAATGAGTTTATGAACGTTCTTCCTTTTAGACTCTTAAAAAAGTCCCAAGTGAGTCACCCCAGCTGTAACTGTACACTCCTTCTAGTTTTTAATTAAACACGTCTGATTAAGTTCTTTTAGTTTTTAAGACTTTTTTTTATAAATGACAACAAAAAGAAAACTACAATGATATAGACTAGTATCAGGTAGTCTTGAAGAGGGGGAACATGTCTTTCCTGGAAACAATGAGAAAACCATCTCTAACGGAGAGAAATGAATTCTGCAGTCTCAGCCATCCGAAATGAGCAAAGACACTCTCCTTTGAAAGTCTAACTTGGATCATACTTGGAAAGCTGTTCTCCACTCAGAGAAAATCTTTATTTTATGAATTTGGGAATCTTGCCAGTGTGTATGCCAGCACCACTTGTGAGCCTGGTATTGAAGGAGACGAGGAAAATAATGTTGAGTCCCCCCAGACTCAGAGCTGCATAAATGGCTGTTAGCGGCAGTGTGGGTGCTGAGAATCGAACCCAGACCCTCTGCATTAGCAGCAAGTGCTCTTGACCACTAAGCCATCTCTCCAGCCCATCATGGAGAGTTCTTGAGATTGCTACAGATACAAAGGTGTCTCCTTGTAGCAAATATGGCCTCTTGTCTTAATATTCCCTCCCCTGGTCACATGTAGTCTATAAAAGCTAGATAATCAAGGCCTTCCTTTTCCCTTCTGCTCCATCCTTCTGAGATATTTCAGGTCTGTCTGGGAAAAACATATATACATGGTTTCCCTCAGAGCTAGGGGCAAGGAGTATGGTAGAGTACCTGCCTCAAGTATGCAAAGTCCTGGGTTCGATGCCCAGAACTGCGGGCAGATGGACAGACAAAAAGAAAAAGGGTACTGTTGTGCTTATGTCAGAAACACATCTGGAATGACTTCTAGACTAAGTGACGTCTAAACACATCACATACATTTGTTCAGTCACAGCTGGGCCCCATGACTTCCTCTTTGTTTTGTCACTGAAACAGTCTTTCTTTCTTTCTTTCTTTCTTTCTTTCTTTCTTTCTTTCTTTCTTTCTCTCTTCTTTCTCTTTCTCCTTTTTTATTTCCTTTATTTTTTCCTTCTTTCTTCCTCCCTCCATCCCCCTCGTTCTTTTTCCCTTTCTTCCTTCCTTCTTTCCTTTCTTTCCCCCTCTCTCTTTTCCTTCCTTCCTTCCTCCCTCCCTCCCTCCTTCCTTTGCTCTAGTCCTGTTCCAAGAGGAGCAAGAGTGCTTCCCACCAGACAGGAAAGCCCCTACCAACCTTAAGATGCAGTTTCTACTAAACTGAAAAATTTGTCATTGAAATCTTCTTGCCCAGTATCTCTGGGCAAGTGACAGTACCTCTGTCACTCTATAAGAGTGATGACCTCATCCAGGCAGTGGTGGTGCACGCCTTTAATCCTAGCACTTGGGAGGCAGAGGCAGGCGGATTTCTGTGAGTTCGAGGTCAGCCTGGTCTACAAGAGCTAGTTCCAGGACAGGCTCCAAAGCTACAAAGATACCCTGTCTCAAAAAACAAACAACAACAAAAAAAAAAGAGTGATGACCTCAGCACCAGCGAAATGATGGCTCAGCAGAGAAAAATGCTTGCTATGCAAAACTGACATCCTGAGTTTGATCCCTGGATCCCATGTAAGAGAACAAACTTCCGAAAGTTGTCCTCTGACCTTCGCATGTGTGCCGTAGCCTGCATGAGCCCACTCCCCTCCACACTAATAATAAATACAATAAAAAGAGTGATGATTAGCCGGGTGGTGGTGGCGCACACCTTTAATCCCAGCATTCCGGAGGCAGAGGCAGGTGGATCTTTGTGAGTTTGAGGCCAGCCTGGTCTACAGAGTAAGTTCCAGAACAGCCAGGGCTGTTACACAGAGAAACCTGTCTCAAAAAACAAAAATAAATTAATTAATTAAATTAAAAAGTGATAATTTCAGAATCTAATCACTAGTGGAGTTTTCTTAGCAGTTCAGTGAGAGAACACTGTCATAGCCTGCAAGATGCTCCAGCTTCAATCTCTAGCACACCAAGGAAACAAGGAGGGTTAGAAAAAAGATGATAAAACAGTAACTTTTTTCAAGCACACCTTGGTATAGGTCCAGAATAAATAAATACTCAAGAGTGAGCTGGGCGGTGGTGGTGCACACCTTTAATCCCAGCACACGGGAGGCAGAGGCAGGTAGAGTTCTGTGAGTTTGAGGCCAGCCTGGTCTACAGAGAGTTCCAGGACAGCTAGGGCTACACAGAGAAACCCTGTCTTGAAAAAGCAAGCAAGCAACCAAACAAACACAAAACCATCAAGAGTGTGAGGTTTCACCCTACTCTGTGAGGGGGACGAACACAAGATACCAATATCTCAAAGTCAAGCCCCCTCACTGCACTTCACTTTCTATAAAAGACAAGCATGTCACTCACCTACTGAGCTCCGAGCAGCTGACCTCCTCAGCTGACTCTTCCTCTGCCCAGGAACCCTGAATTATTTCCCTGTTATGATCCTTTATAATGCTTGGATTTGAACACTTTATGACAGCGGTGTCAAGTAACAGAGATAAATTGGGTGCAAAGTCTGTTTCCCTTTCTGGATTCCTTGAGAAGACAGTAATTGGGAATGGCATCTTCACAAGATCTCAGCTTTTCTGTGTACCTAGGTTACTAGGTGGGGCCGGATATTACTAACAGGGGTGTATTGCTCAAGGGAAGCCTGAACTTGTGCAGAACCCTATAGCCCATCTCACCCCACACTGTCACTCTCGACTGAGATGGCAGAGCCTGGCGATCTGATAAGTGGAGACCTGTGACGGGACACGTCTAAGGAGAGGTTTGGCTTTCAGAATCATCCTAACACTCGGAGAGTTCACATAACTTAATTCTGGAAAATTTTTAATCATCAGTAACCTGAGCCCAGTGCTGAAGCTGTGCCAAGCAACCAGAGACGGTTTTAGCGCCTCGAGGCTCTCTCTGGATGGAGGAACCATTGCATGAGACATCAAGAAAGAGCTAAACTGATTTTACTCATGAAAATACTCAAGTTGGATTCAAGAAGTGGCTCAGCGAGTGTTACTTGCTGTGTAAGCGTGAAGTCCTGAGTACAGCTCTACAGAGCCCACGTAAGAGCCTGACTTAGTAGCTGTAACCCAGCACTCCTGCAGGGAGATGGGAGGTTGAGATGCGGGGAAGAGACCAAAGAATTCCAGAAAGGCCCCTGCCTCAAACAAGGTGGAAGATGGGGACCAACATCCAAGGCTGTCCTCTGACTTCCGTACGTGCATGGGCGCTCATGCACATGCATGCACACAGCCCCACCCCCATACACTCATCTTTTATGGTAGTATTATGAATGGATATTTTATCTGCCAAGTACTATTGTTCCTATTCACTGAAAAATAGAAGGATGTTTGTGATTATCCATAACCCCTTTCTCTGTTGCTGGGAGTCAAACCCAGAGTTTTATATATGCTGGGTAAGCACTCTACCACTGAGGTATACCCTCAACTCTCCTCATCTTTGTTTAGTGGTCATTTGTTTATCATCTTAGGCAAGGCCTCACATAGCCTAAGCTGGCTTTGAACTCACTATGTAGCTATAGCTACTGTAACTCCTGTTTCTCCTGGCCCCACTCCAAATGTTAGGATTACAGGTGCATACCACCGCACTTGGCTCTTTCCACGTATTTTAACGCATTGGGTAAGCACACCAGAGACCTATTTCTTACTGACTGTGTGACTCTGAAAAGGTATCTAACCCCTAGGAGCCTTTTGTTCCTGATGAACACAATAGAATTACCATCAGCACCCTCCCTGTAGAGTCACTGTGAGGATTGAGTGAAATGGAGCATGCAAAGCTGCTGTACAGTAGCCTCTTCATAAGCTGTAATTATTATTGTTATGAAGATAGGCCGGGCATGGCCCAGCCTTGCTCCAGCATTGTTCAAGCAAGGATCATCATGGAGAATTGCTCCTGTGGGCTGGGTACAACCCTCTCACCCCAAGCAGGCGTGGAGTCTGTTCTCAATGGAAATAAGAGCAAGTGTGTTCTACTATTACTATTTAAAAATGGTTTTCAGCAGCGCTGGAGAGGTGGTTCGGCTAGGAGTGCTTGTTGTTCTCGCAGAGGACCTGAGTTTGGTTTCAAGCACCCGTGTCAGGCTGCTAACAATTGCCTTTAACACTAGCTCCAAGGAATCTGATGCCTTCTCCTGCCCCCACAGGTACCTGCACACACCCACATAGAGGCCTAAATAACACTTGAAAAACATTTTTTAATGATTTATTTATTCTTATTCTATGTGCATTGGTGTTTTGGCTGCATGTATGTCTGTGTAAGGGTGTCAGATCCCCTGGAACTGGAGTTATAGACAGTTGCGAGTTACCATGTGGGTGCTGGGAATTGAACCTGGCTCCTCTGGAAGAGCAGTCAGTGCTCTTAACCTCTGAGCTATCTCGCCAGCTCAATATAAATAACTTTTAAAGAGTGACTTTTTGCAAAGGTCTAATGCCTTTGGGTTTGGGATCTTAGGATAAAATAAAGCTTTGAGAGCAAATAGTTCATCTAACAACCATCCCAGGAAGCATCATAAGTAAGACGGGGAGAGGAGAGAACTCCAGCGGCCATGCTAGTGTGCAAATGACTACCGTGGAGCCTTCAACGAGCTCTGTGTGACACAGCCCACAGTCAGTTCAGGCAGGGCAAGGAGCCTGGGCTACTAGCCATCAGTGTCTTTCCATCTTTGGTTGGGAGGCAGTGACTCCCCCAGCACTTCCAGCCTGCCTGGTGAACCAGCTTAAAGACACACAGGAAGTTACTCGGTCTCTGGGAACTGTTTGTGGGTAACTTCTATGTAGGCCATGAGGACATGGGTAGGGCACTATCAACAATTTCTATACCCAGATATTAGATAATATTAGGAAACAATAGTTGATTATTCATAGGGGTGATAATGGTGTTGCG